CCCCAAAACCCCAAAACCCCAAAACCCCAAAACCCCGACTCTCTCGGATAATATTGAATCATGATATGAGCAATTAAATAAACTTATTGAAAATATCGAAAATTCTCTTCAACACTACAGCAATTCTTCTTCCTGCACTGGATCATCTCCTATGATTGCCAATATTTCTTCTTTGGTATAGCTCAAATTAGCTTTAGCCTAAAATTAACACTCTATTCTACCTTTAACCCAAAATTTTGTATCGAAAGCTGATCATATTTCCTTGCAGCTTCAATCTCGGTTCTAAATCACCCCTTATAAACTCTCTTGTTATTCAAAGTGAGTGTCATCTATATCAGAATTAACTCGCTTTCAAAGCTAAAAACTCCTCTTAACCAAAAAATCCGCTCACCTGCCATTTTCCTTTGTTCTTAGAGACGCCTCTATACCTAGAGCCTCTAAAATCTTCATTCTGGACTGAAAAAGCCTTCAAATTCCTCTTAGGATTCCCCTTGATCACCACTTGGTCTTGGAGGGATTTCAAGAGTTTTCCTAACAGAGCATGTCTGTTCTTGTACCTCTTCTGCTCGAATGTGGGCTTGGAAGATACTATTAAAGAAATATTATAAGAACTTCCTACCAGAAAATTCAAATAAAATTTACAGTCTGAGAAATAACCTATTTGTACAATTCCTCGACGAAAAATGGATTTAGGAGCAGTAAGAAAGATACAAAATAGAAGCTGATGAATATTTGAGAGACAGCAAAAGTATTCGTTGGAAGACTGAGAAATCTGATTAAGAAATCAGAAGAGATGTCACAGAGATATATAGAGTAACTAACCAAGGGTGCCAAGCATACAGAGTCTTTAACTTCTAAAATTTACTTACTGAAAGATATGGTGATATTAAGAATGTTAGAGCAAGTGTGAAATAATTTTACAGTGGCTATGTCCTAATCCTACCTCGTTTTATTCACTCCACGTTGAAAGGAATCTAATGTAAATGTTCAGTTTTTTAAGAAAATTCTTATAGTTATTTTAGTTTCCAAAATTGGTAGTTTACTCAGTTTAATAATTATGAAGACACTAATTGGCGCATTGTATTGCCATAAACAGAAAGTGGAATCTTGTATCCAAGTTGGGCTATCTCATTGATATTTTTCAAACTGATGTTGCTCATTCATTCTGAATTTAATTTTTACTAGCTCATAACGAAAAATTTGAACTAAAACATTTATGTTACAATTAAGCTATATTTGTATTCACAACTGAAATCTGGATACTATATTTCCAAAGCAACTCGCATGAAACCGGAGAGATATCGCTGTTTTCCAAAGCTGGGGGACATCCCAGACACTACTCAGCACATTGGAGACAATAAGGATTATGAATTAGGGCTATAGTTAAACCATCTAGTGTAGCTAATTTTCGTACTGTTTATCTATGAAAATTCCGAGGAAGTATATCATAAAGGATTCTTTCTGTTCCTGATAACTTACTTCTTCTAGCAATTGGAGAATTATCTAATTCTTTTTCATTGCTTAGCCTGGTTTTATTTTGCTTCGACTCAGTTTTGGTTAGGCAAGGTATCTCAAAAAGCCTATAGCTTTCTTTTTCAATTTCTCAGCACATCTTATTTAAAGGCTTAACTCATTGTACCTTAAAATAGGGGAAACCCCTTGCCATGTGATGATCCCTAGTCCTTCAGGCTAATGATTCTCTGGTTTCATATGATGAGAGGAGTGTGTGCCTATGAATGACTATCAAGAATTACATCAAACTCTTAAAAATCAGCTGGTTTTGGTCACTCCATTCGCTACATCCCATCTCTGAGATGTGTGTGATTTGCAAAACCTTGCTTACAAGTTGAGAGCTGCTAAGAGCAGTTCTCTGTCCAAAACGGCTACTCATTTTCGTATCAGTCTTAGTTATCATTCTTAAAATGTGAAAAACTATAAAAGCTCTTCAATATAAATCCTTCATCGAGGGGTTTTGGGGTTTTGGGGTTTTGGGGG